GGCGAGTAAGAGTAATTGATAAATGCTTTGAAAAATCACGAAAAAAATTAATGTATCTGAAGATTTTCTTCTTTTTATTAATTTGATAAGATTTTTATTAATAAATCTATATTTTTCAGTAATTTTAACATTTCTTTAACCATAAAAATTCAGAAACTGGTTGACTTTTTAATAAGTTAAAAATCGATTCAAACTTTTATTATTTTAGAAAGATTTATTTTAAAAAATGCATTATTATATTAAGAATTTAGTTAATCATTTTTTACGATTAAAACAGTGATCATATTACTAAATTACTGAGTTAGTGCATTAATTTTTAGTACAGAATATTTGAGTGAAAAAATTATTGATCTAATAATATGGTTTTGTTTAAATTTACACTTTTTCGAAGTCAGTAATTAGATAATAAGTTATACACACTTTTACATAGTATCATTTCTGTTTTAATGAGTATGGTTATTAAAAAAACCTTGCAAATTAAATCTTGGAGATGTTTCTGTTCTCTACAGAAATTCCGTTTTATAAAAATTTTCTTGGAGATTGGTTTCAAACAGACGTTAAAATCGACAAACATTTTCAAAGTTGTTTATTTAAATGGAACTGTTCCGAGATTCTTGAAACGAACCGTTTTTAATTTTTTATCGTAACCACTCAAAACTTTCTATCGATGACGATAAATTTTAAAAGCTTCTCACAATATTTAATCATTAAATATATTATTCAGAAGTGTTTTTAAATTACTGCTAATGATAGCCGAAACATTTTTTTCAACTGAGATTTATTTATATACATACTAAAAACAAACATTCTGAAGCTAGAAAGACATGAAATAAGTAATTGCCTCTTACTGAGTAAAAATAGGTTTCATCTCTCAAAAATAGCATGGATAAACTTGATAGATTGTTTGTAAAGTAGTTTAAGTTAATGTTTTTTTTTTAGTCAACCAAATGATCACTGTAATTAATCAGGCTATAAATTTGCTATTATTAATGATTAGTTGAGTATCAATGTATCGGGCTTCGGAAAGTATATTATATAATGTTTTTTTTTATAGATACGTCCATTGTTAGTTTCTAAAAAATTTTTAATGAGAGAAATTTTGTAGTTGCCCACCTCTTCCAATTTACATTAAAGATCTCTATCTTTGACCAAGTCTCTGAACAAAAATGTGTACTGATGACAAATTAAGCATTAATCTGCTTAATTTAAGATGTAGAATTTACTTAAATTCCCTTAAAATGTTAATCTTATTTTGTTGATAATTGAGTTCTCATGGTACTGAAGAAAGGGAAAATTGAGCACTTGCATTAAAATATATAACAATTACATTTCATGTATTTATTAGCTACTCATCAGTGTGCAACTCATGAAAGAGTGAACACGTTTATACACACAGCAAATAAATTCTGGGCTAGTAAATCTACTTTCTCACTTTTCTTTCAATGTTATATTAAAAAGTAATAAAATATAGTATTTAAAATATAAAATTAGACTTGACAATTTCATACTATAATAATATGAAGATATTATGTTATCATTTAGGCCAGTGTTTCTCAATGGGGGCAATATCGCCCCCATGTGGGCATTTTTCCATGTTGAGGGGGGCGATTTGTAACAATTTATATTTTAGGGCAAAAAACAATTTTCTGGGCGTTGTAGTAAAACATTATATTAAGAATAATTAGATATTTTTTCATTATATCATACAATAATTAAACAAATAACATTATATTAGTCAATAGTCTATTCAATGCAGTACGAATTTGGCGTTAGCCTTGGCCCTCGGCATAAACAGCATACAATACATANATGGCTTAATAACTTGAAACATGCTTCTATAAGTAGCTGAAAATGTTTTTTTTTTTTTTCCAATTTAAAGTGTGCTGAAATATGTATATACAGCATGCTGTGTTGTTTACTCTGAATAGTTCCAGCTTTTCGAGGATATAATTTATGAAAATATAATTTTATTAATTTTTTGTAAAGCCTTAAAATTCCTAATAATTAAAATTTTCTTTAATACTAAAAGAATTTAACAATTTTTTAACTTTAGAATTTTGACTTCTTAAAAAAGTGTGTTGATGAAACTGATTATATTAAAATATTTTGATAGATAAAATAAGAAAGAAAGTCTGAATTTATATTTATTTATTTCTAAAGTTAAGTAATATGTTAAAATAATTTATGAAAAGTTTGTTTTTCAAAATAGTGTGACTCCATTTTTGGAAAAGTTGGATAACGTTTCAAAAAATAATAATTTTTTTCAACCTGGATTTACGCCAAATGATATGGATGAAATTCCTCATATATATCGTTCTATAATTGAAGATCCTGTGGCTGTGCATGATTTATTTACAAAAGCAGCAAGTATGTTTGAATGTTTACTTAATATGAACTATTTAAATTATATAATATGAAATAGATAAATTTTAATATGTTTTGTTATGTAGCAATGCAAATTGGATCTATATTTGAAGATAGAAATGAATTTGAAGATTACATTGTACATAACTTTTCATTGCCTAAGCATGCTCTTGATGTTTTACTTAATTCATCCCTTGATATGGAAAAGGTATAGTTCTGTTTAAGTATTTTTTACATGCAGTGAAACCTTGGTTTTAAACATAATTTGTTCCTAAAAGTTGTTTTAAAACAAACAAATTTTCCCATAAGAAACAATATAAAATGGATTAATCTGTTCTTGACTCCAAAATCTGTTAAATATAATGCAGAATGCCAAGTATGTACTAATGAGAAATAATTTTTTGTTATTTAATTTGACTTAAGCACTTTTAAACATAAACTCCTGGATGCTATTATGTAAATATTACATGAATGTCAATTAATGCAGTTTTTATTAATTAATTTGATTTAAATTCAACTGTGGAGCTTACTGAAAAACGGAAGTAATATCTTTAACGCATGTGCATTGAAGTTTAATTGAAATAGCAACATCATTAATGATTCGTGTTGTGACATCTAATGATGTGAGGCGATCGTAGCACCTCTAACTTCTGAGACAGTAGTCCTGTCATTGATTGGTCAGGCCAGTGACTTTCTTTGTCAACTCCCTATACTTCCTACGTTAATCTGTCTCTCTCTAATCTTTGGCCAGCTCTTAACAAGTATTCAGCAACCAAGTTATTATATAGCAACCAGTGCAATTATGAGTTCAAAAATCTATTCATGAACTGATTTGTTTGAAAAGTGAGCTGTTTGAGACCTGAGGTTTGACGGTATTAATAAAACATTTACATAATTTATTATAATCTAAACATCTAAATTAATATTTTACATAACCATTTTAAAGATTCATCTTAGAAATTTTAGAGATTTTTTTTAAATATAAACCTTCTAAATCCCCAGTGTTACTCTCTTTTTGGTAAACGTTTTCGCCCCTACCAGGGTCTTTTTCAGGCTACCGTTATAATCATTACATTAAAACGGTAGCCTGAAGAAGACCCTGATAGGGTCGAAAACGTTTGCCAAAAAGAGTAACACTGGGGATTTAGAAGGTTTATATTCACGTGGAGAGAATTATATTACCTCCAGTTGTAGATAGGAAGTTCATTTGTCTATATAAAATATGGCCTACCAGTGGTTGAGTGATTTTATCCCTAAACACTGGGAGTTCAGTCATGGGTTTGCACCTCATTAGGATGGGCTGGCCAAGTGGACTTTTCCGGGTTTTCTCCATGTCTGTAATGGCTGAATGGTGGCAGTTAACCTTAAAAGACCTCCCGGAAGGCATTTCTCCCCCACATATCCAGAGAAGGCAACGGGGAACCCACTCTGGTACTAACTTCTTTCAGGAAATCACTTGGTATGCAAACTAATCCGTACTTATTTGCACCGGGTATTCACCAACATTGGGGTGATATGAAACAACACACGAAGAAGAAAAAGATATAAAATATTAAAATATAGGCAACACAGCACATTATACAGTAGGTACATGTTCCAGCACACTTTAATTGAAAGAAAAACAAATGTTTTAATATTGTATGATATCTGTTGTATTCTTTGAATACAAGAATTTTATCTTACGAGTTTTGAATGGCTTAATAACTTGAAACATGCTTCTATAAGTAGCTGAAAATGTTTTTTTTTTTTTTCCAATTTAAAGTGTGCTGAAATATGTATATACAGCATGCTGTGTTGTTTACTCTGAATAGTTCCAGCTTTTCGAGGATATAATTTATGAAAATATAATTTTATTAATTTTTTGTAAAGCCTTAAAATTCCTAATAATTAAAATTTTCTTTAATACTAAAAGAATTTAACAATTTTTTAACTTTAGAATTTTGACTTCTTAAAAAAGTGTGTTGATGAAACTGATTATATTAAAATATTTTGATAGATAAAATAAGAAAGAAAGTCTGAATTTATATTTATTTATTTCTAAAGTTAAGTAATATGTTAAAATAATTTATGAAAAGTTTGTTTTTCAAAATAGTGTGACTCCATTTTTGGAAAAGTTGGATAACGTTTCAAAAAATAATAATTTTTTTCAACCTGGATTTACGCCAAATGATATGGATGAAATTCCTCATATATATCGTTCTATAATTGAAGATCCTGTGGCTGTGCATGATTTATTTACAAAAGCAGCAAGTATGTTTGAATGTTTACTTAATATGAACTATTTAANTTATTATTAAAACACTTGGCGTTTATCCACTTTATTCAGTTGATACGGGCACTTTTACACGTTTCGGGCGTATAGCCCCTCATCAGTCAACTGATAAGAAGATACATTTACATTAGATTATTACATTTTTAAAAATTATATAACGATTCTAAAACATAACATTTAAGACATACCATTTAAAAAATTTCATTGACACGCGTACAGCACAAGTTATTATTTACTGCTGTTAGGATAAGTTGATAACAATGAGAACATAAACCTACATACATTAAATTAAAAAATAAAACACTGTATAATTATACACGCTTATACTGATAACGCACATAACTACACTAATTTTTGTGTACAATTGTTTCTTACTTCAATTATTAGTATTATATTGTTTTTCTTAGGATTTATTATTTTCTCCGGCTGGAATTCATACTTTCATATGTGATAAAAATGGATTGTCTGTAGTTTTAACTCCAGATTCTCAAAACATGGCAGAAATGGTAATTGAATATTTTTATTTTAAATTAAATTTTTACTTAAGTAATATAATACCATTTACGTTTACATAACTAATTTTCAGATGGACCTTCAATTAAAATTCTGTGAATTAAATAATACAGAACAATCAATATTTGCAAAAGAATTAAAAAATCAAATTAATTCTACAAAATTAACAGAGATGGTATGAAATGCATATTGGCAGTTTTGTTAAATTTAATTAATTCTATTTATTTAAAAGTTAATTAATGTTTATATTTCTTCATAAAAAAAAATTCTGTAGCTTCATATTGAAGATTGGAACATTAGTCTAGCTCAAGAAAGAGTGTGGAAGTTAGCTGATGATGTAAGTAATAATTAATTAGTTTAAATTCTGCATAACTTAATTTTATAGTTTTATATGTTATAGTTAAGAAAATTTAATGAATTTGAAACAACGCTCAAAGAATTAAGTGAATTAGCCTCAGCACTTCCTCAAGATGCCTGTAATAGCTGGAACGATACTAATGTTGCTGCTAATGAGACAAAAGAAAATAACGAAAACGAAAATGAACCAAAAATTGTGAGTTACATATTTTAGGATAAGTTTATTTAATTCATTTTATGTGTGTATTTAAAAATTTAATTTTATATTTAGGTAAAAAAACATGAGCCACAGTATGGGCTTTTGCGTATTTGGTTGGGAATGCAGAAAACAATATGTGGCAAGGAAAATGAAATACCTCCAACTTTACCAGTTGATGGAAGTAATATTAATCTAGGTAAATATATATAATCATAAGATATTTATACTTAAATATTTTATATAGAAATCTTTCTTATAAAACTTTTTTATTTAACTTATTAATAGTTTCAATATCATTAATATTTTGCATACAATTATCAAAGAATGGTATAGTTTTGAAGAGTCAAAACACTGTTTTCAATTGAAAAAGGAATAAATTTGATTTCAAAATCCAATTATGACATTTTTCAATGATATAATGTAACATATAAAAATAATTTTATACCTTAAATAAAATCTTTATAATTGTCTATTTCAAACTTTATTTAATGATACTGTTTTCACATTATATTTTGAAGTTTAAACCTTTATTTTTACTGGACTTTAATGATTTATTCCTGAAGATAAGTTGTAAAATTTTAAAGCAACAGGATTACAAGAATGATTATTTGTTTACTTATAAAAAGCTCCAATAAAAAAAAATATTATGTTAAAAATTTTTTGTTATATTTAAAAATGAGAAGAGAATATTTTTACATATTTACTTAAAAAGTAATTATTTGCATTTTGCTTCTTTGAAAAAAATTNTATAATTGGAGAACTATATAGTGGAATGATTTCAAATTAAAGTGAAGATATGTTCAGTGATAGAATTTTATTTGGTGCAGAAAAAAAATTAGTTCTGAAAATTGCTATGGTGATATAGGGAAATGCAACATCTTATTAGTAATTGAAGAGGATCACAAAACGTACAAAACACATTGTGATTAGGTATAGGCATGTCCTGCATTGTGTGCTGAACCCCAAAACAGCATGCTCGACCATGGAACATAGATTTTCTTGAGATGTGGACATGACATATAACGCTGGTCTGCGAAGTTGGCTATTTGTTCAAAAATAAACAACTACTTTTATATGTCTCCATAACTACTAAGCTGTCACAGTGCAGTTGCAAGTCGTATTTAGGCTAATATTGAATTTGATCTAAAAATTTAGAGTTACTCATTTATTAGAAAATTTCAGTCTAGAAAGAAGAATGCTATAAAATTGATCTATGCTCAAGTTAATTTAAAAAACAAAAATTAATAATTTAATAAAGTAAAAATTGCATTACAAATACTAGTCGTATCTTGCTTGTTCGCCACATCCAATCACCTGGTACAAAATTAATAATTTAATAAATTGTTCATTTTAGATGAATTAGGAATGTCTGCATATCAGCAAGAACAAGTCGGTGTTTTAGTTCATGTCCTTTATAGTAATCCTAAAGTACTCTACAGTCCAAATAATACAGCTGCAGATAAAATAATAGAAAAAGTAAGTTATATTTTTCATTCAATATGTATTTTTAATTACTTCAAAATACTTGTTGTTAAATTTAATATTTTCTTATTTAGGCCAATGAAACTTTTGAGTTATTGGATATGGTAACACAGTATGCAAGAAAAATGTTAAATATATCAGAGGAAATAAAAGCTTTTTTAGCACAAAATAGTACCGAACATTCATTGTCAGTTTTACAAAAGGTATTTATACTAATTATTGAATGAAAAAAAAAATTATTTTTAATGAATGAAAAGTTTAAGTTTTGTTATTTTACCCAAAAAATTAAATATTTCTTTTTACAGATTAGAAAGAATTTGAGGAAACATCCATTATTACTAAAGGTTTTGAATAGTATTGCTTTACAGCAGTTTGCTGAAGGATCTGTGATTGTAGATAAAGATGTATTTTTACAGCAATTGGATACAATTGATAATGCAGCATGTAGTTGGATATCATTAATGTCTGGTCTCAATTTAAACATGTTTCAAGGTTTTCAGAATGAGGATGATCTCATGTCTTATGTTCATAAGGATGCATTTTTTGAAAATGTTACTGTATTAGCTAGTAAGTTATGCTTTTTTGAATGATTTTTGTTTCTTTTTTTAATAAAATTTTATTATTATTATTACATTTTATTTGAATAATTGAAAAAAATAGCAATAAACTGTATTTTGTTTAGAAATGGTATGATTTCAGATTCATTCAAGATAGATAAAATTATGTAATTCATACATTATAATGATAAATTGATTATATTTACTAAGGTTTAAGTTTTCAAATCTTATGAGTATTGTATTTGATTAAATTATTACATGTAAGTTTGTAAAACTGGTATGCTTTACTCTGTGCTTTTTTTGAGGAAAAAAGGTGGTGGAACGCTCATTTCGTTACTAAAAATATATTACATGCATTGTACACAAGATTCGGCACACAAGCAGGAGCAGGACCATCTTAATAATTTTGTTGCCGATTTTCTATGCTCAACAGAGCGATTCAACACGGACCAAACATCAAATTTTCAAAAATTCTCTTAAAACTTTTAAAATATATTGAAAAAAAGTGGTGGAACGCTGTTCCGTTGCGTTCTATGACAAAAAAAGCACTGGCTTTACTTATGCTGATAGATAGTACTTCTGTTAAATGTCATTTAATCTACAGGATGAATTTCACTCATGTGGTGGTCATTATTTCTTAAAATTTGATTAGAATAAATGTTGGCTAATATACTGATGATGGTGATATAAAACTAGTAAAATAGTTTGCTACATAAAATACATTTTTTACTTTCAAAGAGGTATGATGTAATAGTTTTTTTTATGCAAATGTTGCTTTTTGCATTTATTTAGAACATGTATCTTCCATATGAATGATACTTGAATTTAAACTTTGTAGTTGTTGTTCAATATGTTTTTTAAAGATATTATTACATACATATGTATGTTAAGTCTTTTAAAGTTATAAAGAGAAGTTGAATATATTTAACATTTAGCTGAAAAAAATTATATAAACATTTGTAAACTATTCAAAAAAGTAAAAAAAATACTTTCATGGATGTGCATGTTGGTGTCTATTTTGCTTAATATCTTAGAATGGAATAAAGATTAAGAAATGGAAGAAATTTTTGCAAATCAAAACACTGGTATACATAAATATTTATACATTTTATCACAAGAATAATTCTGTGTATATGAAATGATCCTCTACGATATGAAATATTACTGTAAATTTCTGATATCAAAATATGATTTTTAAATATTAATATACTTTAAGTAAATTAAAGGATTAATTTTATGAGGAGGAATCAAAGTCTTTGCCAACTGTGTTCTTCTTCAAGTTTGATTGTTATTTCAGAATTTTAAAATATACANCATTTAGCTGAAAAAAATTATATAAACATTTGTAAACTATTCAAAAAAGTAAAAAAAATACTCAATTTAAAAACTAAATAACCACTTTTAGATGTCACAAATGAAATCAATTAAAAAAAATTCTTTAAAAATTTTATTTTTGCAAATCAAAACACTGGTATACATAAATATTTATACATTTTATCACAAGAATAATTCTGTGTATATGAAATGATCCTCTACGATATGAAATATTACTGTAAATTTCTGATATCAAAATATGATTTTTAAATATTAATATACTTTAAGTAAATTAAAGGATTAATTTTATGAGGAGGAATCAAAGTCTTTGCCAACTGTGTTCTTCTTCAAGTTTGATTGTTATTTCAGAATTTTAAAATATACATTTGAAAGCCAAGTTCTTACCCTATTCTTCCATGTAATTTTCAAGATGGCTAAACATTTCTTTGATTGTGGCACAAATTTTTGGATTCCACTCTCATAGAATGCATCCAGTTGCTTACAGTTGAACTGGTTTATTCAAATCATTGTCACTTTCAAAATGGTGACTTGCTGATTCCTTCTTGAGGAGACCAGAAAGGTAATGATTACAAATCTGAACTGTAAGGTGGATGATTATGAACAGCCTGATGGGACATTTTGAATGTTTATTGTTTCATTTCTGATTTTTGTGCACTACTTTGGCATGATGAACAACTGTCTCCATATACAAAATCTCATTTCTTAATAAATTTTGCTTGCATTCTTGCTTGATGCTCGCAAAAATATGTAAAGTACTAAGTTATTATTATTATTATTATTATTTTTTTTACACCTTTTACAACGATTATTGACACGACTGTGTACTGGAAATAGCCGTTATTTAACGGGTACTTTACACGGATTCATGTTAATGTGCCAGGTCTGGACTTTANCACCTTTTACAACGATTATTGACACGACTGTGTACTGGAAATAGCCGTTATTTAACGGGTACTTTACACGGATTCATGTTAATGTGCCAGGTCTGGACTTTAAGCGTGCAACGAAAGAAATAATGACAAAGTTAGTCAAAACCAATCCAATATTTAATAATTCTAATAATGACTATGTACAAAAATTAGTAACAATGAAACAACAAATTTTATTCAAAGAAAATCAATAAGAATCAATCCAACAAAACCCAAATCAATCTATTTGCTAACTTAAATCTTTTCCCCTTTGGAATTCAACAAAAAAATTCAAAGACTTAACTTATGTACAACAATTCTTATGAACTAAGGTCCTAATTGTCGCCTCAATATACTAGGAACCTTTTTCCTCAACACTCAAGACTTTTTCTAATCTTTGATCCACAAATCAAATAACTTCGAATCGCCTTGGAACCACTTTATCGCTATTGGACCCCTCTTGTCGTTTGCTGCTATGAAGCTCACCTTGGTCACCTTCACTTGAGGTTCAGACTTTATACTATGAGGTGACATCACAATTCTGATTGTGATCACTCCTCTCATTTACATACTTATTGCTAACAGTAAACTTTTCCTTTCTGCCTGGCAGCCTATTTCCCGGCAATACTCGCTAACCTTTTACATTATTCTTTTTGACAATTTTTCAGGATGTTTTATTCTTTAAGGTTTAGCAAGTTTCTTAGTTGTGCTTGTGGGGTCTCCCCCCCTCTTTCTCGGTGCGGACTTACTTTTTTCCGTTCGGGAGTGCAGGTGTGCATGAGTTTTTCTATGGTGTTTTTTTTTTCGTCGGTGAGTTGGTTCTCTTTCTTTTATTTTTAAGTTTCTAAGATGAGTGGTGAGGAAACCTTCATCCTAACAAAGCATAAGCCCCAAACAAAAATAGAATAAAAAGCTCGGACTTGGTTCCTTACAAATATTATAACAGTTCTGTTCCTTCATCATGGAAATTGACAGAACATCTTCCATCTTCAAATGTCCGTATTTCCACTGCATTTCACCAGACAACATTGGAAATGGTTGAAGCAATTCAAAATTTTTCAGTTTCATCTTGTATAATTTATTTTTTAAAATGGAATTTTAGTTACGATTTCGTTGTGAAACTGTCCAGAGTATCGTTTGTTTACATTCATTGGTTAATCTTTACCTATGTGCATCATCAAGGTCGCACAGTGGGGACCCACGCTCTAACCTAACCTATTCTATTTATTAGAATAGGTTAGGTTAGAACGTGGGTGCACATAGGTAAAGATTGACCCATTCGTTTAATGTTTATCGAGTACTGATACTATACTACAACAATCTAAAATAAAGATAAAATTCAAATTACCTGAATAGCATAATGAAAGTCAAGGCAACCGGCTTTTTTTAGAAAACTTTCTACGGGATCGTCTTCAGTTAAAACTTTTCCGTGAGGACTAAAATCTGCCATTTTAATTAAAAATTCTAAATGAATAAACACGCTTTCAACCACGTGCTCTCGACCTTCCGACAAACAGCTAGAGCCTGAGCGAGCGTTAATGTCAATTTCTTCCGCACCGTGGCGCGTACGGAATGACGAGCATATAGCCCAGGGGTGAGGAACCTTTTCTCATTTGAAGGCGAACATCCTTCCAAGAAAGCATTCTAAAAGAAAAGAAAAAAAATTACTGCAAACTGCAAATAGTTTAATACTAATTTAGCTTTCATACAGAATTTACTCTTTTCAAGTATCTTAAACTGTACTTCCATACGGCAGAGTTATCGCGGTAAGATAACGGTTTTTACCGATAATCATTTCTTAGTGGAATCGCCATATTGCCAAAATTAGTTCACATATGTTAATTAATCAATGTCATATATATATAACAATATGAAAACTTGTTTAAATTAATTAAGAAGGCCGCAGGCACTCCAATCCTGGTCTAGCCCCTGAGCGAGTATTAGTTCTAAATTATGCCGCTATCGACGAACAGCGCCAATGGCGGTTGCTTGTGTATAGAGGTATTGATGCTAACTTATTCAATTTTGGTGGTTAAAGATCGAGTGGGTAAGGAGATGGAGAAAGTCGTGTCTCACATCTCGAGTAGGATCGAACTTAATGAAGATTTTACTCGTTATTACCATTTGAATTTTTTTACAAAACACATTCCTACTCTCAAAATTAAACTTTTTGCCATTTTATAATAATTAAAAACATAGAAAGTTTTTTATAACAAAATCTCGTAACAGATGGCGCCGCGAAAAATTAATTAATCATAATAAATTAAATTACAGTATAACTTATTTTTTAAATAAAATTTCACGATAGCCGGAAAAGTTACGCAACTCGTTTCTGATTTTTTAAAATTATTTCTTAATAAGTAAAACGAAATTTAAATATCACAAAATAATTTATTGAAAATTAGTATTGTTTGAAAGACCGACATTCGAACAATACTAATTTCGAATAATACTAAATCAAACGCGTTCAAAATTCGCGTTCTACAATCTTCCTAAGTTCAGCCAAGCGTCATTTTTGAATTTAGTAACAGAATTAGTTTTAACTTTCATATATTTTAATTGTATTGTTAACTGATTACCAACCAAGCATCATGTGATGAAGCGGCCGGCACAGAGTCTCACAGTGAGATTCTAGAGTGAGAACAATTATGAGCAGTGCTACTATTTCTAGGGTAATTTCAACCTCTCAGGGTAATAATAATAAAGAAAACACCTTTTTTTGCCGAGAAATAAATATAATTTGCAAAAACAAACGTTTTCAGCCTAGTTAATAGGCCATCTTCAGGTCGAAAAAATGGAACACAAATGTTCCATAAATAGAACATAAAAATATTTAAATCAAAAAATTTACAAGTAAAAAATAACGGAAGAATAAATAAACAAATAAATAAATTAATTAATTAAAACAGAAATAACATAAATCTTCAATGGATTAATTCTGGTCGAAGTTTCTAGTATATTTCTTAACCAAATATTTCCATGCCGATGGTAGGCTCTCCGCATCTCTCGCATTTAAACAGCCTTCCCCTATCCTACTTCTGTATATTTCAATTTTCTCCGCCGTCATTGCTAGAGTTGGGGAAGACAGAGGCTTGATGATTGTTGCCTCATCCCATTTAACCTCAGAGCCTTGCGCTTGCGCCATTTGTGACAATATCGTTGAATTAGATGCTTTTCTTATGGCGTATCTATGTTCTTTGAGCCTTACTCCCAAGTTTCTGGTAGTGACGCCGATATAATCTTTTTTAACA